TTATTGTGGTGGAATTTTCCAAACGGGGCGGAGGTAATTTAAACGGGGCGCAACGATTCAAACGGGGGGGGGAGATTTTCCAAACGGGGCGGGCGCGCCCCGTTTGCGCAACGTGGGGAGAACCCTGCTGTCAGTCTGTGCTGACCACAACCACCACCACCACCACCTAGGCAGCAGCTTTTGTGGCACTCTTATGCCTGACAAGACTTTACCACTTTTTCACAATCAACAACAATCATGGTTTAAGGAGTGTTAAGCTGGGTTTACACTGTCAACCTTTTTCTGGAAAAATTGATGAGCTGTTAAAGTGATTACGTCACAAATTTCTAGCACCATCAAGTAGTATATTTGTGTGTTATTTGTACAAAATAAAATGTATAAAAATACAATTAGTGTTTCTGTTTACTTTTCATGCTTATATATACCTTCTTTACATGCCCTAATTTGCTGGTGAAAAACAGAGAGACGCCAGTATCTGAACAGTACTGGGGGAATAGTGTTAGACAACAGAAATTACCAACTCGTCTAGATTTTTGCAAATTTAACCAAGGTAAAAACATTTTTATCAGGTGAGAGTTTGAGGATATATTTAGTAAGGTTAGTTCTTACTTTTAATGTAAAAAAATGGCAATTTTTTTTTTACAAATTTTACCATGGAAAATTTGTGACTTAGTCAATTTAAATTTTCCAATTATTCGACCGAAAATTGGCAGTAAAGTAACGTAAACGTAAATGTCTCGTTTGCAACTGGTTAATATCAACCAGTTGCAAGATAAGAACATGTACAATTTTTCCCGCAACTTTTTGTCTGCGAATTGATCATGTTTTTGCCACGCAGCCACTCGTAGTTCTAACAGTAGTGCCCGAAGTTTTCGCGAAAAAAAAGCGTATTCCGCGTAAATCGCGGAACGGGAAGAGAAAGCGGAAAACTCAGTCGTGAAAAAAGATTAGCGGACTAGGAGCCTAGAACACACTGTGCGATTTTCTACGCTGGCCGCTTGCGATCGATAAATACGGTGTGCGCGTCTCACGGCAGCGTATTTCGATCGCGATCCCATACGACCGGCTGATCGCTCGCATTCAACGCGTTCAACCGGTTTTTACGGTGGCGCAGAAGGCTCACCACAAATACAAATCCCACAACACAAATACAAATCCCACAACACAAATACAAATACCGCAACACAAATGCAAATCCCGCAACACAAACGCAAACATCACAACACAAACGCAAACATCACAACACAAACGCAAACATCACAACACAAATGCAAACGCCACAACACAAATGCAAACGCCACAACACAAATGCAAAATCCCACAACACAAATGCAAAAGCCACAACACAAATGACAAATCCAACATACACAATTATGACACAAAGCCCAGCAAACACAATGGCGAAATTCCCAATGCCCAGCGCCCCCGAGACGTCCTGTAACTAGTTTGCTACTGAGGGCGAGCATTGTATCAGGAGTAGAATAATCAGGATACTCTTAGCACACTATCATCTACTCTGATATGTAAGTACAGTACAAGGAGCTGTACACACCCATTCACTCCCTCCAGCACACACGCTATCTATCGCACGCTATATGACCTGGTAGAGAAGCTGGTAGAGGAGGAGGGGGAGAAGCACTAGGTGACGAAAAGAGGAGGGGGAGAAGGGCAGGTGGAAGAAGGAGGAGGGGGAGAAAGATGACTGGTGGAGAAAGGAGGAGAGGGGAGAACGGGATGGTAGGAGGGGGAGAAGCTAGGTGGAGAAGGAGAAAGGGGAAGAAGCTGCGTGGAGGAGGGGGAGAAGCTGGTAGAGAAAGGAGGGGGGAGAAGGTGGCTTGCTCCCCTCTTCACGCAGCTCTCCGGCCTCCTCCTTCTCCAACGCAGCTTGCTCCCGACCTCCTCCTTCTGCCACAGCACTTCTGCCCCCTCCTTCGCTGGCATAGCGCAGGGCTTCTGCCTTCTCCCCCTCCTCCTCCACACATCTGCGCCTTCATACGCCGCTCCTGCCTTCTGCATTACCAGCATATTCCCTTCTCCCCCCCCTCACGCAGCATATCTCCTTCTGCCGCCTCCTGCGCTCTCCGACGCAGCTGGATCTCCGCTCTCTCCTTGACTCGCAGCTAGCTTCTCCCCCCTCCTCCTTGCTCCTAGCGGGTCAGCTTGCTGGCCCTTCTCCCCCTGCCCTCTTTTCTTCTACACAGCTTTCTCCCGACTCTTCACAGACCGAGCTTCTGCCCTTCCTCCTTACTCCACGCAGCCTCTCCCCCTTCTGCCTCATCATCGAGTTTCTTTAGCATTCTGCAGGCCGCCTCGCTCCTTCTCTACCGAGCGGGTTCTCCGGTTCTCTGCCCCATCCTCCTCCTCCACAGCTTCTCGCTTCTCGGCCCCTCTCTTCCTGCCCACTCTCAGCTTCTCCACCTTCGCTCACTTCTCCACCGAGCTTCTCCGCGTTTCTCCGCCTCTCTGCGCTGGGTCTCACACCAGCTTCTCCCGCTCCTCCCTGTCTCACCAGCTTACCTCGCCCACACACTCTTCTCAGCACGACTAGAGACGCCGTTCTACCTCACCTCCTCCTTCTCACACCAGCTTCTCCCTCCTCCCTAATTCTCTAGTAACGCAGTTAACAGCTTCTCGTTACCGGCCATATAGCGTGATAGCATGTGTGCGGAGGGGGAGGGGTTAAGCGCTGTATAGCAATCAGGAGTAGATGATATGGAGTAAGAGTATCCTTGATTATCTACTCCTGACTACAATGCGCCGCAGTACGAAATCAGTACAAGGCGGGCAGCGGGCAGGAGATTTTGCATTTGTGTTGTGGCGTTTTGTGCATTCTGTGTTGTGGGCGTTTGCATTTGTGTTGTGACGTTTGCTTTGTGTTGATGACGTTTGCATGTTGTGTTGTGGCGTTTGCATTTGTTGTTGTAGTTTGCATTTGTGTTGTTGATGTTTGCAGGATTTGGTTGTGGGTTGGTGGGGGCGTTTGCCATTTGTGTTGTGGCGTTTGACAGATTTGTGTTGTGATGTTTTGCATTTTGTTTGTGATGTTTGCATTTTTGTGTATGTGATGAGATTCAATCTTTGTATGTATTGCGGAATAATGACTGCATTGTGTTGTGGATTTTGCCTCATTTGTGTTGTGGGATTTGCTAATTATGAGTAGAGTGAAGCCTTCTGCGCCACGCTGTAGGTTTTTCATAAGCGCTCTCCTCCAACGTAGAGAAGGAGGAGGGGAGTAAGCTGTGGGAAGAAGAAGGAGTCGCTAAGGGGAAGAGAAGCGGGGAAAATATCGGCACGAAAAGAGAAAGGATACAACCAGGGGGAGAAGCTGGTGAGAAGGGAGGAGGGGAGAAGCTGGTGAAGAGGGAAGAAGCCACCTCTCCGCCCCTCCTTCTCTACCTAGCTTCTCGGCCCCTCGCTCCGACACACCGCAAAGCTGTCTCAATCACCTACCTCCACCTTCTCATAGCAGCCGAGCTTCTCACACAGAAAACCAGTCCTCACACAGCGAGTATCACGGCAAATAAAAGTTACTCCCGCCTCCACAAACCACTACACATATAATACATGACTGCACACAGAACTTCTCCACAGAGTAAAAACCTCCTCTTTCTCCACCAACACGCTTCTGATCTCCCCCGCTCGTACCTCTGCTTATCTCCCACACATTATGAACTCTACTCCAAAGGGACAAGCAACACCAAGTCACAACAAAAAGCCAAGAATCCTCAAGATATAAAACACGACTCTTCATACGCATACAAATACACCAGCGCGCCCAACAATGAACAATCGCGTTCGAACGCGATTGTCTTTTAGGCAGCCATCAAGTGTAGCAACAAAAGCTAGGAAACCACGTTGGAACCGGACGAGTGTGTGCAGCTAATACGCGCAACTCGTACGGCGTTCTAAATCTATTAGCTAGCGTATTCAAAACTATTCATGCATTCATCGCACCGCACATGTAATACCGCATGCGTATGTTGTTTTTGTTCTGGCTAAAGTCTATGCTTTCGAGTTTGCTGCGAGAAAATTTCGTTGCTGGACATGCTTAGATTTGTTAAATTGAATTGATCGAATCATCACAATGCCGCCCGAACCAAAACGTAGCAGCAAATTAATTAAGGCATGAATTAAAAAAAATTAAGGCTTTTCTAAGCTTTTGGTGAAATTTAGAATGGCGAAATTTTGAAAGCAGAAGAAAGCAGAATTTGAGATTTGTAAAGCAGAAGAAAGCAGAATTTGACATTTATAAAGCAGAAAACTTGAGGCCCTATCTAACAGCAATCAGGGGTGTGTCCTTCCACCCATGAGCAGAGCACGTTTTTGTTATCGGCGCCACGATGGCGCGAATTAATACATAAAAAAATGCCTATCCACAGCGCGCGCGTAAAAACACTACGGGTCAAATCAGGGAATAATTTTCCCGGTATCGCATCGCAATTCGCGATGTATTTTCAGCCATTTGCTACGCATATTTTTTTATGAATCGCAGTTGTGCGATGCAGCCCATGCGAGATGTAAAGGAAACATACATGTTTACAATTACTTTTATTCTCGGGCTGCTTTGCCCCGTCAATGAAATGCCACGTTTAGCGCGGATTTTATTGACTTGTTAACACCAAAGCCAACGTGACTTTTAAACAATCCCCCCCCGTACATCAATCAATATGCCGCCCCAGGCACGTATACACAGCCATGCTGTGCTGGCACTGCACGCTGTCGGCGGGCTGCTTCTTCCGTCGCGCACCTTTGATAATATAAAGTTAGGATGTCGTGGTCGAGAGCGCGGATAGCCGCCCTTCACAATCGCTAGAACTGTATTTCATCAATGTTTGGATATATAACGTAAAGGGCCGGACACACCAGGCGATTGCATCGGGCGATGGCATCGGCCGTTGGCATCGGAGTGAAAATCGCCTGGTGTGTCCACTCAATCGCCGCCGATTTCATCGCCGATGCCATCGGCCGATGCCATCGCACAGATCAAAACGTTTTGATATTATCCGCCCAATGCCATCGGCCGATGCCATGCGCCGATGCAATCGCTGGTGTGTTCGCGACAGCGAAAAAAATACACGGGAGGCGGCGAGCGATTTCGCTCGCCGTCAGCTTTCAAAGCGCTCTGGTAACAACAATTACGAGAGCGAAAATTTTGGAAGATACGAGAAAAAATCGCTCCCGTGCCGCCGTCTGCGTTCGAAATTAGTTCTGACCCGGAGGCTCGAGCCCACCAAGTTTTTGCTCGGGGCACCATCTCTACGAAACTGCCGGTCCTCCTGACAGTGTTTTTATGACTGCATAACAATAATATTAAGTTTATATATCGCAGGGGTCATCGTGGGGAGTTGGGGCACGACCAGTGACACCTGACATGCACGTAATCAAAGCTGTTAACTGAATTCATCACTTTTCAATCAGAAAGTGGACTGTTTTTATTCAGTTAGATATCTAGAAGCAATGTAAACTGTATATACTTAAAGATTCTAGGCACTTGTAACTTTGCGGATGTGCGGCAGCATTGATCTATGCATGGGGGTACCGTGGACTGGGGAGGAGAAAAACTAAAGTAAAACCTTACCCAGAAGCTCCCCCGACATTCCTAGAGATTGAAACATTATTTGACCAACTCTAATTGCGAGTTACATGTATGCTGTTTTAATGCCAATGGTTATCTTTATATATACTTGTTGACTCACCCTGCTAGTAAATAAGCGGACCACCAAATTTTGTGCAGGTCCTGCTGTCCACTAGATTTTCAGCCGAAATGCGGTGCCGGGCTCGACAAACCTGCTTGCCCGATGGCCCGGGGCAACCAAAATTCGCCCCGGGCAGGTAGCTTGAAATTGCACTTGCCTGTTCAGGCAAGCAAGTTTTTTTTATTGAATGGCTATAGACATAATGAGATTTTTCTGTTTCCACCCGTCCCTTGCATTGTTTTGCACATACATAAGCTGCCTTGCTGCGACGAGATTTGAATGAAAAAAATAATGCGAATGAGACAATCAGTGCATGCAGTCAGACTTTGTACACAACATGCATACAGCAACATGTAAACCCGGCCTCCGTGATTTTGTCACCATTATGAATGATTGTTGACCTCGTCGATTTCGCCAAAGCATAATCTTGACTTTCGTTTGTGAAACACGTTTACGATAATTAGACACATTTTCTGGCTTCTGAGACATTATTAAAGTCAGCGCATCAAAATTTTGAAAATTTGCTGTGTGAACAAAATCATGCTATGAAAAAGTAGCTCTGGCCAAGCCTAAAATAGCTCCCGTAAAAAAAATTACGAGAGCTCTTTTTTTCATACAAAATCAAAAAAGAGCTCTCGTAAAAAAAGAAGTAATTTTTAGGCTGGTCCGCGACCGGCGATAACATCGCCCGATTTTACAATTCATCAGCCAATCAGAGTTCATCAGCCAAGCGCACTGCGCGCGCAAGAATCGGGCGATGCCATCGCCCGATGCCATCGCCCGATGCAATCGCCTGGTGTGTCCGGCCCTTAAGGAACAAACATTTGATTAAAGTTTTAGACAATTATTTTTACTCGCCAACATGGGCGAGTCAGCTTTAGCTTCCACTCGCCAGGCCCGATATTATTTTCACTCGACATTGGCGAGCGGGCGAGTGCCAAGCTCGCACGCTGTTTAAACGCTGCCGGGCAGCGTACAGAATCGCTAGTGTGTCCTAGGCTTAAGCTAGCTGTGCCTGTCACAGGCCGACACGATAGCACGCCAAGCATGCACTGCGGTGTAAATTTGCACTGTGATTGTCTGAAAAAAATGCATATTTTGTATAGCACATTTGCTATGCAATTTTTTGGCTGGAAATTGTTCCCTGCAAATGTTGAAACGTCTGCTGGCTCGCAGTCGATAACCTAAAAAGCTTAGACGGCGGATATAACACAAGATACCTAGCAAGGTTAATCAGGGAAATAACGCAAAGGGGTAGACTATTAGGTGTATAGATAGAAAGAGCGATATAGAAAAGGAGAGAGGTTTGAGACAGATTGGTTGGTACATGAGATCAAAACGCAGGAATGAGTGGAAAATAGTGAGGCAACAAAGAATGGGAACAAGAAGATAAGTGAAGGTAGATTGTGAGAGACAGACATCCAGACGGCGGGACGGACAGACAGTCGGGTAAACAAGCAAATGGATACACAAACTGCCAAGCAGGCAGACAGATGGATCAACAGACAGATAGACAGGCAGACATGAGGAAAGACAGACAGATAGACAGGCAGAAAAGTAGACAGATAAACAGAACAATGAAATGCATAAAGTGAGTGTGTTAAGGAAAATAGTAATGCAAATTTGAAAAGTGGTTAGCATTAGAATTTAAAACTTACACTTTGTTGGGATTTCCAATTTTTGGGAGCAAATTTATTCACTTTCTTTTCCAAGTCAACAAAGTGGTACTCCTCCTCTAGAACACACAGAAATGTTTGTGACAACGGAATGTGTGAGGAAAATACAAAGCTACTTGCAACATATAATAGCCTGTATAATACAAAATATGAAATACTCCCCAAACATTTTACAGTGCAATGTTTTTTCATAATGAGGAATTTCTTACTAGCTGCCATGCCTTTCCATCTGCTGCGTTCAAACAGCTCTGAAGGATACTTTTGGCGTGTAGCAAAGTACTTACTAATTCAGAGTAAAGTGTATATATATTCTACCAAGGCCAACGGCAGTATGCTGTACGCGTTTACTTGAAAAGTAACACTCATTAAGAGCGATTCACAACCTGCTTTGCTGAACGAACAACTTGCGTGATTTGATGATGCAGACATGTCATTCTCATTGCCACAAAAATAATTCACTTGTAAACTGAAGCTTTACACATTCATCCTCTCCACCGATAGAAGACAGTGAAGACAGTCACACTGCCTTAATATATTTACATTTCTTTGCCGTGTTACACATTGTACCAGTTAATAACTCAAGATACACATATATATATATAAGATATGTTATTATAGCCAGAATCTATGTGTATGGCAATTCATGCATGTAGCACACGTGTTCATAAAGAACGTACGAGTAAATAACCCAGCAAGGATATTGCAAATTACGTATAACGTGACATTTATAGTTAATCTTCGTTTAATCATGCAGCATGTAACTTGGATTTTGTTTCCAAGCAAGAAATATAATTCTACAACATGACCACAAAAGCACAGATCTCCTGTATGCACATAGCTCCTTACACAAAATGGATATGGCAGTCCCTCAAAGGCTTACCGTAACCTTGTGCACGACTAAGAGGTACGTTTGTTACCTGCAATGCGACATGAACATTTATTTTCCCTTGCTCAGTAAGTGATTAGGCCGCCAGCAATGAACTCTGTTGGGTGATGCATGCAGCCAGCAAAAGGCACATCTAGTTCTGAGCAATAGCGACTCCACGAGAAGCGCCAATAACGCACAGCATTCCAAAATGCGCAAGCAGCTCACAGTGAGAACTATTTCAAGAACACCTTGAAACGTGTTAATCCGCGAGCTACTTTGCATTCGCATGTAATCTCTAACAAGTGCCGCATAGCGACAGCGCTCATCTAACGTCTACTGCGGTGACTCTGTGGTGGAGTGGTGGGATTCTAGTAAACCCTGTTAGTCCCAAATGTGTTCACATACACGCCGAAACAGTGGAATGCACAGGGATAGTATCAGGAACCTTCTCAAAAGAATGTTCGTTGGGATCGTTATGAAAGTTGCCACGAGATGGCGCGTACGTTTAAGTGTCTTCAGATTAAAGATGGAAGCTCCCATCATATGTAGTAGCAACAACTATCTGCAAGACAGAATAGGTAAGCACTCATCCATTTACCTACGCAAGCCTACAGGCTGCGCAATAGAGAGCTGCCACCTGCAACCAATTAAGGCAAAAACTCCACAGTACCACAACACATGCACTGGCAGTAGCCACTGGCAGTGGCATACGTTACATGTAACATACTGACACTACAGAATGCCATATAAATTATACGATTTAAGGAGCATAAACCTTCTTTAACCAAATTTAGCTTTTGAAATTTCACTGTGACATTGTAGCCTCATACATCCAGGCATGTATAGATTCTACTAGCAAACCCGGCAGTCAAATTCTTTCTAACAGACAGTCAACAAATCCATGTTTAACCCTCCTCTTGAGGGTCAAAAGGTTATCAGACACTTACTCTTCGCACGTCAGTGGAAAGCAGATTTCATGGTCCTTTCAATAAAGCCATAAAAATGATAGGTCACCGCTGAAACAAAAAAGTTTTCCAATCGCTCCGTCAGACCATGTCCTCAGAAAATGTCTAAAATCTGCCCTGTGCTCCATTGACCTTTGACCTGTGACCTCCAATTTCGGCACAGTGATGGCTTTTCCTACCATGATGCTATACACCAACTATCACGAGCCTAGGTCGAGCCGTTTAGATTTGTGCCGCAATTCTGCATTTCCTCCCTATACCTTAAGTTAAGGAGTGAATGTTCCCCCTTCTTTTACACCTCTTGACCTTTGACCTTTGACCCCCAGCTTCGACATCCCAACTCGTTTTGACGATCCCCCCCAACGACCCGAATATCGTGACCGTACGTCGAGCGGTTAAGATTTGTGCCCAACTGTTGACGGACGACCGGACGACCGGACGGACGGACGATCAAGCGATTCTACAAGCTGCATCTGACTATGTCAGATGAGCTAAAAATTATGTCAATGCAAGACATTCTCTGATGTTGAATGCATCGCTTTTTTGTGACTTCCAGGGTCAAACGTTCGTGCATAGTTAGTTGGCTAACAACTACTGTGACCTCTGGTATTGAGGGTACACCTACAAGCTCATAAATACAGCAGCATTATCTAGGGGTGTGTATGGGTAATGACCATGCTTATACTAGGGTGGCACAGATAATAGCTGGGTTATTGCAAGAACATACGTGGCATGCTTTTTTCGTGGGTAAAACTGTTATATATATACTCAGCATGTTGTCTGTAAATAACATGCTATGCAGCAAGACATGTGGCCGAAATTGTGGAATCTTGAATGCTGCAAAAATAATGCAAAAAAGCATTTGCCTTGCCAATACCTTCCTATTTAGTTGCGACTAGTGCCTCCACCTACCCAATTCATTCTGCACCATAGCTAAAAAGGTGTGAACTTTTGCCATCGAGTCACTTTTTTCCCAGAATACTATAAAATATCTTGTGCTGTAAAATTTCTTATGAAACCACTTTATACATGCTTACCAACTATTTGCGCCAGCCCAAAAATGTCTAGAGAAGGGGACTTAAGTCCTAGCCAGAAACAGGCAGAGTCGTAGAGTGGCTTCAGTTTGGATTTTACCTGTAAAACCACATGAAAAAGTTTTCCGTACATATTAGGAATAAGGATCCCATCCGTCTTTGTAAATGGTTTCAATTTCAGGCCAAAATTGTCAAACTTGGGAAAAACGAAATCGATATTTGGTAGGCATACATGTGTCACTATTTACAAGAAACTTTACACACACCGTTATTTGGCAAAAGGTATATAGTCAAAATTGTCTATTAACAAATGAGGAAACTGAGCAGCGCTATGGAACAGAGTAAAAAGTGAAAAGCAGTCGACACATCACTCTGCGTGCTTACCTCAGCTATGACGTATATTTGTTCATTCGTTAGCAGGGTCACTGCCACGTATTTCTTCCCAGGAGGCAGAGGGGTCGTGCATGCTACCACCACCCCCGGGATTACTCCCCTTCCCGCCGGGGCGGACTCCCGCATTGTACTGCCCTACGACGGCTGCTGCATCTAGGATGGTGTCCTGTGATAGCTGTGGAACAAAAGAACAAGGTTTTAAATGGTAAAATTTATAAATATTTGAAAATATCATAGCTAAGATATATTTATATTTTGGCAAGTATTTCAAAAAAATCTGTCCCTGGACATTATTCCTCACTGAATGTCCAGTATAACAGTAGAAGTAGAAGTCAGAACCAAAACGCAATAATGTTGCTACATGGGTTAACATATTTGACATTTCCGCGCTCTGACAAGAAATGTTGATGCGATAGTGTCACGTGATTACCCATGCCTGACGCCACATTAGTTTTGGCCGGCCGCCGCAGCTAGCTGATCTTGTATTTATAATACGGTGTACAGTGTGCTTGTTTAGCATGGAGATCAAGTGTGACAGTCAAGATTTCAACATTGTTCACTGAAACATTTAGCTATCAATTTCAACTTCTTGCAAAGGTGTAAAATCAGCATCTAACAGGATTTGAGAGCAGTGATATACAGTAAACACTCGCATAAAAGAACCCGTGATTTTCTGTTTCAGGCTGAAGTGGTTCTTATATATATGGTACATAGTGAGAAATCAGCTTGAAGTGGTTCTTAAAGAGGTTCTTAATTTGGGGGGGGGAGATATTGTGTACATTATCGTACTATACAATATTGTATAGTTTCAGAAAATATTCACACCATCCTCCCCCTCAATCCTCTGTATCGTCAAAATCTAGCCCCAACATTTACTGGAAAATGAAGCAAAATACCCCCTGGAAAATCCAATCCTCCTGTGAGGAGGTATTAATATTATCTGGAACTACATGTTGTTGGTTTCCAATGGTGTAGCACACATACTTGGATTGCCCCAGTTTGCTCTAATTTCGGTATTTTTTGTATATAAGAACCTGTTTAATTTATCAGGCTGAAGAGGTTCTTATATAATAGGTGCTTAATTGGTCCAATTTCAGCCTGGAGGTTCTTAAAATTACGGGTTCTTTTATGCGGGTGTTTACTGTACTACATAGGACAAAGACAATAGCAGTAAAGACGGAGATCGTATGATCGTATGAAGATTCGTCAAAAACTCACCCGGGTTAAAAAAGGCCAGATCAGAGACAAACCATGCTGTCATAGCAGCCCTCATGTGGTCATTATTGTAACCACTGGGAATAAATCAATTATTTAAATTATTGAAAGCGGCGCCTTCGCCGATAGTTTGAATAATGACATTAAAAGATAGGTATAATGTCAATTCCTTCAAAAAAATCACGACAGTTACCACCGAAAAATATCGTAATTTTTTTCAATATTCCAACGATACTTCATACTGAGCATCAAAACCGTCACAAAATATTCCTGATGCCAGACTGTTTCACTGCAGGGTACATCATTTTACAAAACAATGTAAGATACCCAGATTTGGGACTGGGCTACCCTATATAGTTCACACTCTGTGTTCAATTTGAGCTTTCCCCCAGACAATTTGAATTGTATTTTTCATTTCAGAAGGTTCAATGAACAACTTGAATTTAATTGAAATTTTAAACAGATCAGAGTCTGACAAAAGGCTATGGCAGTTGGGTGCAAGCTAAAAGACTGGTGCGAACTACATAGGATCTAGATGGGTTACTACCAAAGAAGATTTAGTGCACAGAATTAGATGCAAGGAAAGATGTAGTGCAAGGAAACTAGCAATTAGGGATGAAAGCAAAAAGTACATCACAACCGTTACACATTCTTCAGATTGCGTGTAGTTGTACCAGGTATTATTTGTGATGAACATGATGAAGGAATTTTTTATACCGCTATGCTCTTCAGGAGCAACTCCCCTTCTCTACTGAACTTCTGTTTGTGGTTGTAGACATTCTTGTTTAAATTCTGATTGTCAATACATGCATAGTGATACATACACAACCGTTACACTATACATCAGGCTTTCAGATTTGAAAAGTACAGTCCTGAGGACTATTAATGACTCCCCTAGGACACCATAGGGGGTCTTTTCACGCTCAATAATCACACCCTTAAGAGGCATGATGAAGAGCTCCACTAAAAAATCACACCCTTAAGAGGCATGATGGCGAGCTCCACTAAAAATCACCCTTAAAAGGGATGATGGAGATCTCCTTGAGGGCTCTCCATCATGCCTCTTGGGGTGTGATGATGGAATCATGACCAATCCTCAGTCTAGAGTGAAATCCAAAACGAAAATTGGGATGTCATGTCAATCCACTGATTATCATTCATCTTCACCTTCATTCATTCAATGGCTTCGTCAGGATTACATTCTTTTCATCCAACAACCCAACACTAGCACACAGATTAATAAAAGAGTTAATCGGATGTAAAAATAAACTTGTTTTATTTATTCTGATCTTCATCCTTAGAGACTCTAATCCATGTACCTGCATATTTCAGCACGAAATATCATCACAATTCATCAAGGCGAGAAATTTTTCATTTTGATGGTTTACAGATCCGCCGACCCAAATTTTCAAGAAAAATGAAAAAAAATAAAAAAAATTTATTCCCGCCGTCCCTTTCTCTAAGAAATATGAATAACATTTTTTTTAACTTGCACAAACAGTTTGTAATAAAAGTAAAAATAATTACAAGTTGTGTTTTGTTGTCATTTAGTTTTCTTAAAATACTTTAATATCATGTATAACAGTATCATTGTATTTTGACTTGTTTGATCTGACAAAATGACAATTATTAAATTTTTTTTTTTACCCTACCGAGTCAACAACAACAACAAAAATTCTGTAAACCAACAAAACAAAAAAAGGTGGCCCAACAAACTAGCCAAATTACTTGTACGTAGTAGCCACGTATGTAGCCCCTCCAGCCCTACGACTGTTTCACGTCGACAGAAAACCACTTCTCGCCACGTATAGTGGAAAACGAGCAGGTAACTTGTGGCTACCGTGTAGGTACCTGTATTATGATGCTGTTGTCTAGTTGTATAAACCAGAGCGTAGTAACCTGTACCTCTGTCATACACGCTTACACACCACAAATTGTTGTGTCGCTAACCTTTGTAATAATTGTGACAGGTGGCATTGCCAGTATTACTAGTTTTAGTACTTTACTAGTACTTTGGCTCATATGTCCCCCAGGGTACTGCCGGAAAGTACCCTGGTCACTATCGTATGGTTAGGGTTGGGGTTAGGGTTAGGGTTAGGGAGTAGGCGTAGGCGACTCCCTAGACTCGTTAGTGGAGTAGACGAGGTACGGTCCGGCATATTAGATAGTACCAGGGTACGTTCCGGCAGTACCCCGGGGGACATAGACCCTCTCAGCAGTACTTTAGTACTAAGAGACTTTTGGTGTGCGATATTTCAACCACTTTTATGAGGCGCGATGATGCACGCACCGTGGCACAATTTGGGGTGTGCGGTGGAGCGAGGGCGCGATCTCGCCCCTTAAAAATGAAAGCCTGCTACATTGTTATTTTCTGCCAAATGATATTGGGCGTATAGAGGGTTCCGCGTCTTGGACTAAAAATAGCAATATTACCTACAATCCCGTGCCGCCGGCCTTACCGGTTACAAACAGAGCGAACATGTGTGGCGTGTAATCTGTAGACTGGTACTCGCTCCCACCTCTCAGCTTAGTTACTCGATGGGTCCATGCATCCATCGAGTAACTAAGCCGAGAGGTGGGAGCGAGTACCAGTCTATATAATCTGCCGATCTGCACAATCACCGATTTTACATTAGCTATAGTATAGTGTTATTATTGCAATAGATATTAGTAGCAGGTGGATCCCGATTTTTCGGGACAGGTTTATCACCGTGGGTGAGGTGCTACGCTAGAGTTCAATGAGATTACACAGGTCAGGTTTCGCAGGGCTTATTAGCGTCGCGAGATTGCACGCAACACATATGTTCATGGACTTGAGTTTGTTTACATCGGGAGTGTTCAGAAATGTCACCGATTTTACTGCATATAGCTATCAAACGCAGCATTTTATAACATCTGGTGTATGCACATTTGCCAACTGTCTGAAGATCTCTGAAGTGTACGTAGTGGGACAAGTACTTTGATTCACTAAGCAACGTAGCCAAAGCACGCCATCTCGAGAAAATTGCGTGCATTGGGAATCGACACCCTTACGAGAATGGAGCGAGGACCACAACTTGTGCCCATCACGTACTTATTAGAATCTCGTGAATTGACTACCTAACATTCTAGCCGAGTCCATTTTATACTCTCAAGGACTTTCAGAACCACAAAAGCCTGGATGCCTACGATCGACTGTTCTGCGGTTGGGTTAGTGGTGTATCAGTCTACATCTATCATGTGAACAGTGAGAGTCCCATCTACGTTATCCGAGCACGTGTTATGCACTCTCAGTCTCTGATTATACCATCTCTCTATCCGTGCATGAGTCACGATGAGATAAATGGGACAGGCATCATGTCAGCACACTGTAATTGTAAAGCCGGGCTTGGTGCATTCTGTTCGCATGTTGCCTCGGTGCTATTTTATGAAGAGTATGCTGCATGTGCAAGAGAAATCATCACCCCACTCAAACAGCTGCCTACTGGATACCGGCGATATAGCATTATGTATATAAAATTATAAGTGTAAATATGTAGCGGCATGCGCCGTGCGTGCGGTGTACCTGTGTGTTGCAGAGGAGCATTTGACCAGCATTTATAGGTAATTATCGGCAATACTAGGCGAAAGAGAGTAGAGAAACATTAAGACATTGGTAGTAAATACATTTCGTGTTTATTCAGCATTGCTTTTTTATTGAAAATGCTCCAAGCGTCTGTGGTCCGCCTGGTCTCTCGTCACTTTACCTTGTGTTGTGATCACGCTAGGCAGCATAAAAAAGCTGTGTGGCTCTCTCTGATACCGATTGCTGCAGTTGACAACACCGCAGGAGAGCGACGTTGTGATGCATTTGCTTAATAGGCGAATATAAAATGAGCAGAGGTGCTCAATGTACTTGTACCATGCCTGAACTGGTTTCTGTATCCGTCAGGGCCGGCGGCGTTGCATTGTGGGTAATATGAAAAATCACGGAACCC